CGCGTCACTGAATTCTCTCTTCGGACCTGTTCCTCTCCAATCGCTCTCTTCTAGATTTTCTCTCTCTAAGCGGGCAATCGATATCCTTCTAAATTTATTCTCTCTCTCTAAGCGGGCAATCGATATCCTTCTAAATTTCTCTCTCTCTCTAAGCGGGCAATCGATATCCTTCTAAAATTTCTCTCTCTCTCTAAGCGGGCAATCGATATCCTTCTAAAATTTCTCTCTCTCTAAGCGGGCAATCGATATCCTTCTAAAATTTCTCTCTCTCTAAGCGGGCAATCGATATCCTTCTAAAATTTCTCTCTCTATAATGTTTCTCTCTCTAAAGTGACCGGTCCGAAATTTTCTCTTTCGAAATTTTCTCTCTATAATGTTTCTCTCTCTAAAGTGACCGGTCCGAAATTTGACCGGTCCGAAATTTCCTCTCTTTCGAAATTTTCTCTCTCTAACTTAAGGGACATGTTTCTACGCTTCCTAACAACCTTAAGGGACATGTTTCTACGCTTCCTAACAACCTTATAAATTATAGGGAAAAGTTTATATAGACCCGAGGCTCTAAACAATTGAATTTGAACCTACTTTAAAAATTTAATTAGTAGGGGTTGTTTTGATGTTCAAATGCCTTCAAATTGATCATCTCGACAGTCGAGATGTATGAACATAAAAACAAATAAATTATATGTTTAGAAGTAGTGTATTTTGTAACATATTTTTGAATCATCAATTTTTAAGATTTTTAAGTTTTCATATATATATATATATATTTATACTATTTTTTAAGCTTTAAACCTTATAAACAAATATAAAAATATATTTTAAAACTATCACAAAGATTTTCAATATTGAAACTACATTTCTTGAAACTATTTGAAAATATGCTTTAATTTCATTGTTTAGAGCGTAAGCACTATACAAACCGCGCCCTAAATTATATATGATCCCACTTCTTAGCGAACAACTATGATTGTTTGTACATAATTTTACATGAAATATTGTTTTATTTTTTATTTTTTTCGACAAAATCACTTATGAAAATAATTTTGAACATTCTGCCGTAAAATTAGAGCAAATTGAAAAATACAAAAAAATTATTTTATGTAAAATAAATAACAAAAATGCCTCTATAATTTTTAAAGATATTCTAATAATTTTTATCATCAAAAGTATTTTTTAATATTGTTATCATTTATCAAATGATTTAAATTTTAGTTTAAAATTATTTATAAAAAATTTAAAAATAATTATAATCAAGATTGTGTAACTCAAGCCATCAAAAGTGTCTAATCAGATCTAATGATTGAATCCACATAGACACAGGTGGAGTGTCATAAAAGCCCTACACCCTATCTCGAGGCCAAAAATGATCGTGCCAAAAGGCAAGCTCTTTCTACTTTTCGCTATAATCTATTCTCGTATCACCACTCTTTCTCTCTCTAAACTGGGTCCATAATACCCCGATTGTACGTCTTTCTCTCTCATCACTATGTCATCTCTCTTTTTCTCTCATCTCTGCTTTTCTCTCTTTGTTTTCTCACTTTCTCTCTCATCTCTCTTTGTTTTCTCACTTGCTCTCTCATCTCTCTTTGTTTTCTCACTTGCTCTCTCATCTCTCTTGATTTTCTCACTTTCTCTCTCATCACATATCGACCTATTCTCTCTTTCTATATCGTGTTCCCGCATGAGCACTCTTAAACCTACTCCCTCAGGTCAAATTATACTCAATTATTTTTCTAATTTACGTATAACTAAGTGCTTGTTTGGATGTACTTATTCTCAAATGATAATCTATTTTTGAGTGAAAATTATCATGATAATGAATTAAATGATGTTTGCAATTTATCTAGTAAAGCATAGAGATTAATTTATAAACAGATTTACATAAAAAAACAACAAAATTAAAATTAATATAAAATTTAATAATAAAATAATATAACACATAATACCAAAACGATAGACAAAATAATATTCTACATAGCATATTAATTTCAGATAAAATAGTTCGCTCCTTAGTAGATCAATTGTCATCCAAACAAATACTTGGACGATTATTTTCAAAATTGAAATTTGGATTTTGAGTTCTCTAAGCTTAGATTTAACCGTCTATTTTTCAAGCATGTACATAATGTTGAGTGAACCGTTTTTTTTTTTCTTTTCTGAGGTCAATCGATAGTTTAAAGAGGTTTCATCTCCAAAATTCTAGATTCTAAAACATAATAGAATGGATCTTACTAGAGGGTATGATACTCAATAGAGCATAATAACATACCAAAACCTGCGTAGCCGATTCTAATTAGTTGGAAAAAGACTTTGAGATTAGAAAAAGACTTTGAGGATGATAATGATAATGGATCTTACTTGAGGGAACAAATTGACAATTTGTTCCCTGCGGTGCACGCACGAAATCCTTCAATTGGACTGTACGTCACGTGCCGTTTTCTCTTTTGATATTTCTCGTAAAGGCGGCCCTCTCTCTCTCTCTAAAGTGGCTTTCTCTGTCTGAACTGCTAAAATTGGTAATTGAACATGTCACGGGTGACGAATGGACATCTATCCTTCTTTCTCTCTCTCTCTCTCTCTCTCTCTAGGGCCAACACCTTTTTCTCAGTCTACAACATAACAACTTCTCTCACTTGGGTATTGTATAATCCATGTATTATTTGTGGTAGATATTTGGTATAGTTTTTAGACTTTACAAAATGCAGGTTCCCTGGTTCTTAAAAACGTGTTTAATGAGCTTTGCTTACTCTCTCCTAAGAAAAACTTTTGAAGTTTCTCTCTCTAAGATATTCATAAGGAAAAATTTGAATAATAAGGGGTGGCGATGGACCCGGGACCAACCCAGGACATGAGAGGTGGACTCGAACCGGATCAAGGTATGGGCTCAAAATTTGACCGGGCGGGTTGGGTTTGGGTTCAAATCTTAGACCCGAATACTATTCAGGTCCAGGTTCGAGTCTGAGTCCGATCGGGTCCAAGTCTAGAGATATTTTTCAAGTCCTAATATATAAAATATATTTAAATGTAGATAAATACATAAACATTTTAATTTTGAGGTCAGGTATGGGTCTACGCCCGACTCGACCCATTGCGACACCTAGAATTACCTTTGTAGTTAATCCAATGATAAATCTTGTCTCTTTTATGTGGGATTTGGGATAAAATTTCAAAATGTTTTCATTACATCCATTTTTACATGAAACTAAAACAAAAAATAGGTATAATAGGTATATGTGATTGTATACTATGAGACTATTTATTTTTTGTAGAAGGAGGACAAAATCGATTTTAGCCATTGGATATGAAATCTAATAGGTGGAAGTATGTCACAATATTTTAGAAATTTGTTTGACGCTGTCCGTTAATAATTACACATCTTCAACCACCCCTATTTTAAATCTAAACCGTTGTAAAGGGATAACCCATAATCATCTAAATCTTTGGGTTATTTCTTATATTGGGATTAATTTCATTTAAATAGTTGTTGTTACAAAATATTGTTGTAACAACGTATCCCATGTATATAAAAAATATGTACATTTTATATTATAAATACACAATCTCATCTCACGTGAAAGTTCAAGAAAGTGATATAGAGACTTATTAAAAAATATTTGGGTTGTTTTATTATGGTATGTGAGATAGAAACTTTTTCAATAATATTTGGGTTGTTCTATTATGGTATCTAAACAGAGTCGATCTTCTCAGCCTACCATCCCAAGTTCTTTTTTTGCACTCCCTTCATTACTGATTGAGCTTTTTTAAAAAAAAATACGTCTCTCCCTCTCTCTAGCCTTATCATATAGCCTCTTTTCTTCTATCTAACTCCTCGTCCCCGTGTTCATCTTAAATTCTCAATATTTCTACTTGAGTTGTTCTATTATGGTACCAGAACAAAGTCGATCATCTCAACTTACCATCCCAAATTATTATCTTCGCATACAAATCCCTGTCTTCAATACTAGGAAAACCCTTTTGTTAAAAATACGTTTCTCCCTCTCTCTAGCCTCCTTTATTCTAACTCCTTCTCCCAATGTCCATCTTAAATTCTCAATATCTCCCTCGGTAATATGTCTCTGTCTAGCTTTATATACATCTTCTCATCAGCAAGGTCCTCTCATAATTTTTATTCTAACTTTATTATTATTTTGTTTATATTTCCATGTTCCATCCAAACCCTCTCTCTCAAATCTCTTTCACACTCTCTCTAGCATTCACAACTTCTTTGTGCCCACTTATCCTTCCCATATTCTTTTGTTTTTTACCCTCTTCTTTACACTCAACAATGTCCACACCTACTAACAACACACCTACAATTGTTGCCGATAAACCCAACCCTCCCATTAATAACCTCCACCAATTTCTTCCCCACAAACTCACAATTACCAATTACTTGATTTGGAAATCTCAGTTCATGCCCATTCTTCGAAGGTACGATCTTCTCGATTACATGGATGGCTCCCTCCATTGCCTTGCTGAATTTATTCCAACGGAAAACAATGAGGACCCCAAGATGAGCCATACATTTCTCAATTGGAAGTGACAAGACTAATTGTTACTTAGTTAGATTATCTCGACCCTCGGGCCATCCATGCCCAAATCGTGGGTCTTACCACCTCCCAAGAAATACGAATTGCACTATAACTCTTGTTTTTGAATCATTCATGAGCACGTATAATATAACTGCGACTCAAGTTGAAAACTATCAATAAG